AAAAGCGTACCAAACCAACAAACCAAGCACAATCTAAAACCGCCAACCTTAAGAAAGTGCAAAAACCTCGATTTTTGCATAAGCTTTTTAGAGTTTGGGTGATATGTTTTCATTGAATTAGCATAAAATCATAATTGGTTTAAGTTGCGCTAAAAACAAACACAATATTTATTAGAAATATAATTTGTAGGCAAACAACCGTATAATTGGATACATGTAAATTGGTGTGTAATACCAAAAACCCCCAACCTTAAGAAAGTCCAAAAACCTCGGGGGGATTGTCGGTGGAGCAAAGTTGTATTTTTTAAAGCAATCGACTATATTACTTCTTTTTCGTTTATAAGTAGTCTCAAGATTGCCTTTGGTAAAATTCGCATCCGCCTTGTGACGCAAGGGCACTGGTGACAGTGTGTTGTGTGTTATGGTTACCGTGTCGAGATTATCCACTCCATTGTCATGCTTCAAGCCGCGGAGTTGAAACTGCGGTCCACTGCTGCCGGGATGAGAATATCTTTTGGCCATCAAGACAAAATGAGCAACTGAGTTGAAGCATCAGATCAGAGCTCAACGGATCGTGTGAACACAGTTCGTGATTAGCTGTAACGTAAGTGTTGAATTGGTCTGTTCCAACTTGTGACGATGCAGAAGCAGACACGAACGCGTGGAGCAACGGCGCATGCGATTTTGGTAGAAATTTGTAGAAGCAAGTGAAGATGCGAAAAGAAAGAGATTCTGCTACCGATCTGACGCTGTCCGAGAGAGAGGCGTCCGGCTGTAGACGAAAAACGAGCTGGAACCCGAGGAAAACCAATCAGGTATGAAAGAGAGCAGCAAATGTCCATGTCGTGCAAGAGGGCTCGCGAGGAAGGTTCGCAAAGTTCAGGCACCTTCTTGCTTAAAAAGCTTGGGCAATTTGAGCGTCAGCCTCTGATCGGTTCGAAAGATCCCGATCTGATCCGTCTGGGGCTAGGCTCGAGGAGGTATCCAGATTGGATTGATCGATCCAAGTGAAAAGTGCTAAAGGGTCACATTCACAAGTGGTCCTTTTTGTGGAGAATGAGAGGGCCGTTTGAGCCAAATGTAATATCATGTAACGAGCCTAATCGCTGTCGTCACAGTTTGAGACGAGTCAATACAGCTGCAAGAGATAGTGATGAAATAGGTTCTCTTTTCAACGTATTCGTGACTTTTACACTTTCCACTTCACTAATGGCTACG